AATTTCAATGAAATTAACTTAGTAAAAAAAAACTTTGTTTGTCAAAAATATTTTGATTTTAAAAATGCCTATTTATACTGAAATGTTAACATTTATTACATTTAGATTCATGAATAAAAAATAATTATTTAAATGTAAAAGTTATTGATTTTATTAAAATTTATATTTGTTTTTAGTATATGATTTATTTTATTAAATGAAACAATTTCTTAAATCTTTAAAAAGTCATCATTACTTTGAAGGAAAATTTACTTTTTTCTAGTAAATTAAATCTTTAGTTTAAAGATGGTAAGTTTATATTTTAAAGGTGATAGTATTGATGTTATTACAATTAATATTTGTTTCTATTATATGATTACTTATAATGAAAGAAATATTTTTTTTAAACTATATAAAGTCATAATTAATTTAATGGAAAATTTACTTTTTCTAAGAATTCTCAGATTCATTAATTTAATTCAATCAATTGCCTAAAGATAATGAATTGACTTCATTGGATCAAAATCATACCCGTTTTTCATTGATATAACATACTTTTTTCATTAATTAAATGCCATTTTTTCCTGAGTGCTATCGATGTTTGAGAGTTTGTGTTTTCAGGTGCTGCTATATGACTAAATTCAAAAAAGTATTACGTCTTAGGCCGATCGCACACCGAAAGAGCAAAACTGTGTTGGCCTAAAACAGTTTTCTTAAAAATAAAACATTGGAAATTACGTTATATACGCACATTGATAGATAAGACATAGTCAAAACAAAACGTTTCGCTTTTAATCACAATTATAGTCGTGACTGATACTGTCTGAGTGACGAGTGTTCACAGTTTTCGTAACAATAGTTACAAGTAAAATAGTTCAATATTTAGTTACAGACTTGAAACATTGTATATAAATATAAAATTAGTAATAATTTAACAATTTGACAAATGTAGAAGTAGTAATCTTTATTTTATTGGATCTGTCCATTATTATGAAACCTTCCAGTTCAACATACTCATAGTGCCTTTCAAAGTCATTAAATTTCTTAGAAATTGTATGCACTGTATGTGTACAGTATATTTTGGTTATAGTCGGGTGAATGAAAAGTGGCCGCTGATGCCCACGCGCCTAGCGGTGAATTTTTATCATTGTACCGCAAAATTATGAAAAAGCGCGCGAATTTTGAATTATTAACCATAATGCAATTACATGTTATTCCAATACAAATCAAGAATTTTAATAAAAATATAAGCAATAATAATTTAATTTAATACAGAGGTCATTCAAATGTATGTACAAGTCATATATAATACAAATTCAGATCAAATATACACAAAATAATTTATTTCTATCCAAGAAACTTAAACTAAAGATCGGCCTCAAATATGTCTTCATCATCTTCAACACCCCAATCACGAAGCAACTTGTTGTTCTGGATCCAAATTATCCTTACCCTCTTTGCATATGCGCCTCACAGTTCGTTCTGATAATCCACAAGCTTCGGATTTGAGCAAACATAGATGGAACAATTTCAATTTGTTTCGATAAGTCTTTTATAAAATTGTACACCGAAAAAATGATTTTTTTGCTCTGACTACGAGTATCACTACTATTGCCGGCCATTATAGAATTTAAAAAAAAAAACTTTATCTAAAAAACAGTAGTAAATAATAATGTAATGGTTAAATTCACTTTCTGATGTCAAATGTAACAAAACACAACATAACACGGACAAAAATCGTAGCCGAACGACGAATATCGTGGTAAGGGAAGCAGATGTTATGGGTACAATAGTACAATACACATTCCTCATGTAGTTTATATATGTTGTCCCACCGGTATGAGTCCCTCCATTAAATATACTACAAACGCCGAAGGTCACAAGTAGTAACTTGTGACGAAGCTACAAAGCAAAAAAAAACGTTTTCAACCGCGCACCGGCCAGATGTTGTTATCAATCGCGCTTTACGTGATTCACTTTGAGAACCCATGGCTTATCGAAAAAAAAAGGTTCCTATCATATTGCCAGCGGCCACTTTCCATTCACCCGACTATAGTTAATTTTACAAGCAAAACAAAAAAAATTAAATAATATAAAAATAATAGAATAATAAAATATCAGAATGTTTAACTTAAAATACTATAGCACTTCTAATAACAACCAAACTCTGGTGGGCTATTATATTACAAAAAGCATAATCATATTAATAGTTTTTAAAATAATAATTGTCTTACGATAAATAGATCACACTGTATATAGGTACTTATATAATATTATGTAATAATTGAATGTAAAAAGTTAAATGAAATTTTATTTTATATAGGTATAAAACATGACTCGGAAAGTCTGAACTTACGTCTTTAGTTTATATCAGTTGTTTTGAATTATGTTTTATTGGGAATACTATATGCCATTTTTGGCGCTTATTTTTCGATAATCAGCTATCCATTATGGTATTAACTGAACTTAAAGCAATTCACGAAAAATTGATGCGACTGAAAGTGGTCGACCCCATGAAAATGAAAATGAATTTTCATTTCATTATTGGTATTATTGTATTTGGTATAGCAAAAGCTATAGTTCTAGTCGTATGGATAATAATTCAAACCACAGCTGGAGTAAAAATGAAGGTTATTATTAACATTTAATAATATGTCATAATTTTAAATGTAGTGTTGTATTAATGGTTAATCCAACAAACTTGGACTATTTTACTAAAAATGAATCAATCTAAAATTATAGTTCGCTTATAAAGACATTATTATAATACGAGGCCGACGTTTGGTCCCCTTGTACCTTAATGAACATATACGGAAACTCGATAAAGATCAAAATAGAGTTTTATCAGTTATTTCTCACCCTCTAAAAGACTATAGTCATACCAGCAATGTTTTAGGATTCAAAACGTTTTTTTAATGAGTTTATTGGAGGAAATAGTGATGCACCCCGTTTGTAAGGAAGACTCCATCTTTGTGTTCATTTTAGCAACCGGTTTGAGATATGACCTATCAGTTAACAGGTATACTACCAAAAAGTCCGAGGTAAAAAAGTCCTAGGAAAAAAAGTCCGAGTAAAAAAGTCCGTAGGTAATAAGTCCGAGGAATAAAAAGTCCGTGGTTAAAAAGTCAGAAATATAAAATGTCAACGGTGAAAAAGTCCGGTACATATAATTAGGTAAAAGGAAAAATACCATGTGATGCACAATCAAACTTCCAATTAGTATAAATATAAATTGTAACTAAATTATTTACCTGACAAAATTAATAAATAATCTCGTATGTACCAATAACTACTTTTTGGACTTTGAACACTGCTTGACTTTTAGTTGCATGTAATAATCAAAATCTATTATCTTAATTATCTGGTTTTTCGAGTTTTAAGGTCGATTCGCACTATACGGAACGTCAACGTCACGTCACAGATCGGCAACGTCACGTCAAAAATAGAATACATTCGCATTATCGGTAACGTCACGGAAAAGCCATCAGTCCATCCAGTCCAGAATTCTGTTAGGTTAAACTAGGTCTAGTACATTCTGTGTTTTAAATTCATTTTTTTTTTTTATTAAATATTCGTATTTGTATCATGCCGAAGTTCACTAAAAAACAATTAGCAATGATTGCCTTAATTTTGGACGACGAAGAAAAAAAATTTAATCGTACTAAGAAAATGTGGGTACGAAAAATGTTTACTGCGAGGAAATTCGTAGGAGAATTTCACACATTATTTAAAGAATTAGAAGATGAAAAAATTTCTTTCTATAAATATTTTAGGATGTCACAAAGTCAATTTTATGAACTTTTAACTAAAATTCAAACTAAAATTCAAAAACAAAACACTACATTCCGAGAAGCTATTAGTCCCAAGGAAAAACTAATGGTCTGCTTAAGGTAAGAAATAAAAAAATTAGTATTTTATATTTTGTATTTTTTGTATTTAAACAAAATAGTTAATATTATTATTAACAAACTTATTACTTTAACTGTGTTAAAAGTTAATTTGGCTGAAAATTTTCAAAATAAGATTGTGCAGATGACCTTCCGGAACTTACAGATGAAGGTGTTTGAGTGTGACTAAACATAAATGAATCATTTGGAGTAGATGAGTTTGACGCACGTGAAATTTCATAAATTCGTTGTTGTGGATGGACTGCTTGTTGGATGTTTTGAGTTTGAATAAATGGTATTGGGTGTATATTTGACCTGTTGTCTGGAGCTAGAAAATTCATTGATGTTGGCACTTGGTAATTTGTATTCTTACTTTGTAAATGTGCCCACTCTAGTTCGGATACAACATTGAAAAGTTTTGACTTTGCCATATGCTGGTACTCGGGTGAAAAAGTTTTTACAGTAGCGGCTAGACTATTGAAAAATATGTCTATTGGATGATCATTAGCAGTGGCTTTTGTTTCTTGCTTATCACTTTCTACTAAATATTTCATTAGTACAGATGAAGCTGTCTCTGTTTTTTCAAATTTTCTTTTGTTTAGCAAATACCTAGATGAACTTTTTTTTGGAGATGCTGTAGATTTCTGATTTATGTTGTTATTAGAATTTTGTTCTGAAGTATCCCCAGTAATAACAACGCTCTCCATACCTTCGTGTTCATCATTCGATCCGTCACTCAAGCTATCAGGTTCTGCTATGTTGGTTTGTGTTTCTCTTTCTTTAAAAAATGGAATTATAAATGACATTGAATCTTCATACTTCCACTTCTTTTTAAGTTCAGCGGCTTGTCCACTTTTTGTAATATTTTTTCTCATTGCTTTTCTCAGCTGGTCACGTAATGAGATCCATCTATTCTTGCACGCTGGGCCTATTAAAAATATAAAATTTGGTTATAACAAAAAGTGTTTTAAAGTTTCAATCCTTAGCTATTATAACAAAATAATAAAATCGATTCAAGATAAATCGCTCTGCTCAGAATCTAATATTTTGGTTATTCGTATACGGTTTAATACTTTTAACGCATGTTTGGTAATTACTTGAATAAAAATAACTTATAAATTAAAACATTTTTGTTAATTTAAATTTAAATTTATTATATTGTTCGAACAGTTTAACAGTTATGTAAAATTAATTATTTAGGTTTTTAGCGACTGGTGATTCGTTTCAAACTATATCATTCAGTTATCGGCTGGGGCATTCGACTGTTCATTACATTGTTAAAGAAGTATGCAAAGCTATAGTAGACGAATTGTTAGCTGAAGTGATGCCGCAACCAAAGGAAAAAGATTGGGAAAAAATTGCTGACGACTTCTGGAAAATGTGGAACTTTCCTAATTGCTTAGGAGCATTAGATGGGAAACACGTGGAAATTTTTGCTCCTCCGAACAGTGGTTCCCAATATTTCAATTATAAGAAAACTTTTTCTATTAATTTGTTAGCTTTGGTTGACGCAAATTATAAATTCATTGCTGTAGATGTAGGATCCTACGGTAAGAATAGTGATGGTGGAATATTTGCCAATTCAAATTTAGGAAAAGCGTTGGAACAAAATAAACTACATGTTCCAAAAGATAAAAATCTTCCCGGAACTCAATGTCCAGTGCCATATGTCATTGTGGCGGATGAGGCATTTCCCCTAAAAACCTATCTATTAAGACCTTATCCTGGTTCTGTAATTAATGGTGATATACAGAAACAAGTATTCAATTATAGATTGTCAAGAGCTAGGCGCATATCCGAAAACGCATTCGGAAACTTGGTGCAAAAATTTCGAATCTTTTTTAGAAGTATAAAATCTTTACCCGAAAATGTTGACAATATTATATTAACTACTTGTATTTTGCATAATTATATTAAAGATAATATTTTAATTACCCAACATTTAGACCCACCAGAATGTGAACCTAATTGGGGACGTATACATAGACAAGGAGGAAATGCCCTCACTACTGCTTTTAATGTGCGTGAAACCTATAAAACTTTTTTTAACTCTGAAAATGGATCATTACCATGGCAGAGAGATAAGTTTATGTAAAATTAAAAAATAAAAGCTGTAAAAGTAATATTAAGTACCTAATAATAAGTAATATTAGTTAAATTAAGTTTATATCTAGGTACCTGTTGTTTTCAATTCACTACCAATTTTTCTCCAGATATTATCTTTGTGAATGTTGTCGCTATAATTTTTATGCGTCATATCATACAGTTCTTGATATTGGCGTACTTCCTCAATCAACATCTCATCGTTCATGACTATTTAATGTTTAAACTATTAATATGTTATTTAATTAATCGAATGATTAATGTTATTTCATTTTCTACTGTAAATTGGAGAATTAAATAAATATTGTTTACTTACTTTATATGTCTATATTTTTGTATTTAAATATTCAAAAATTATAATTTTTAGTTAACGAGCTTACACATTCAAAATATAGTTTATATAAATTGTTGACGGAAACGTTCCGCGTTGACATTCATACTATCCGTTAAGGACAAGAACGGACCGGTTACGTCACGTCAAAATATAGTTTTCGATAAACGTTGCCGTTCCGTGACGTTGACGTTACGTAATGTTGCCGGTGTATGTGAACATTGCGGTATAAATACATAGTAAGATATTTTGACGTGACGTTGCCGATCGGTGACGTAAAAAAAAAAAAAAATATAAAAAAAAAAGAAATAAACAAAAAAATAAAAAAAATAAAAAAAAAATAAAAAAAAAAAATAAAAAAAGAAATATATATTATCTATAGGTGGTGGACATACTCCACCGTGTACATATCGTACATGGGTAACTGAACAGTTGTCATTTTTGTCAGTATAGTTCGACATTCTGTAAGTGCCTGAACAAATGTCAGAAATGTCAAAAATCATACAAATTAACGAAAAAGGCACCAAAATAGTTGTGGA